CAAATCCTACACACTGTGCCTTTAAATCCAAGTTTCAGACGGCGCACGCACACTACGAACAGCTGCAGTCGTTTATCTGCGCTTAAATGAGTTGATGAACAACGGTAACAATGGCAGATAGCAGAGTGCAGCAAATCCTACACACTGTGCCTTTAATTCATTTTCATTGGCTACTTTTGCTGCAGCCCAGTTGTACTGGGAAGTGGGAATTCCCTGCTTCCAAGTCATAAATTTAAACTGAAATGCCCCTCCAGTGGGAAGTCCCTGTGGGAAATTGGGGGGGAGTTTAGAAATCAAGATGGCGGCTACTCACCCCAACTCAACATTGAGTAAAACTCTTACTTTTACTTTTAATAGTATTTCTGTATTATATATTTCACATTTACTCAGTCGTACATGGTACTTTTCAGTGTTTATAAGAGGACCTGTTAAAACACTGTTTCTGTGCAAGAAATACCATGTAGAGCTCAGTTATTGTTTATTAGTGGCACTTAGCCGTATTAACGAAACAACGAATGTGATGTTTCGTGTTAAGTCAAAACTAAACATGAAATGTCTTCGTTTCTTACAGCTGGCCTCGGCTGGTCTGGAGGAGGAACTTGCCAACGAGCACCAGCCTTAATGTCAAGCCTCAACTGGCTTCTGGGCCACAGCTGGACCGAACCCTAAAGGCAGCGTCGTCAAGGTTGGATGCTATGTAAGCTAGATGGAAGGCATAAGGACGAGCCCCTGAGCGTTGTAATTCATGGCAACGCAAACTGACTCCAGGGACACGGACTGTCACCATCAAGGACTGGAACAGATGTTAGCATCGTGCTAGGCTACGAGCCCTGCAATGACTGCTGGGTACTATAAACAAAGCAAACACGAGGACAATTATGTACTTAATTGGTGGTGCACGCTCCGTGACTGCAGTAGGCTGTCACGTTGAGAAGGCAARGATTTGCTGTTTGTATTCATTATTTTTCACACACTCTGATTGCAGTGCACCGCAATTAGGTTTTTATGGACATTGCTGGTTGGATAGGAATTTTGGAAATGTAACCCTGCAAGTACATTTGGATTTATTTACAAAACCTGGATTTAAAAAAAATCTTTCTCAAAAAAAATTATTATTTAAGACCATGTTGAAAGCAGCACATTAACAGGAATCACAATAATGGATGCACTTTTTAGTATTCAGGTCACAACTGACAGTATCTACCTACACTTTACCCTGCAGAGCGTTTTAAATATGATCCTGGCAGCGTTGAACAGGTTCATTACATTTGATGCATAGAGTGCATCACATGTGATGGATGGGATTGGTTGATGCTACATGGATGAAACCAATCGACGGGTTACGGCAYAGTGCCCCGAGCACACTGTTTGATTAGGCGTCTCACTTTGTTGCACTCTCAGATTACATCCCTGCAGCCTCAGASGAAGGACATCCATTCCCAGGAATGTGGGAGAAAAGGCTTTAAGTGTGTGTAAATATCTAGCCACGGGAGATTTTGAAGCTGTCTTTGGTATTCGAGGTTCTCTCAGTGTCTGAAGTAGAAATAAACGATTATGTAGCATGGTGATGCAGACTCTAGTTCAGAAACCATTACACAAAAGAAAAATCTTGTAAAAAATAAAGGGTGAATGATGTGTCATGTTCATCTGAGTCCCAGAAACAAATTCCACCTTTTTTATTTGTGTGTATTTCTGATTTTTTGTCATCTTTTTATTCCCTGTCTTCACCTTATCACATAGCTTCTATTGTTTTTGACYTGATCCATTTTTCAGCGTGCAACTTGTTCCACAATTTTTGTGATATTTTATACTTTTTCAGCTATTTAGCGTTTGTCGCTACTTTTCCCCAAATGAATATAGCTCAACATCCTTAAAGTCCTTTAATATGTTCAAATTTTTACAGCACCTTTTATCTTTTACTCTGGTTCTGATTCTTTGTGTTATTTTCAGCCTTCTTCGGCTTCTTTTTTTGTGCTAATTTTAGCATTTTTCTGCTATTTCAGCTATCTTTCTGGTCCTTTCTGCTGTTGTTCTGCTAGTAACAACTTTTTTGTGCTTCTTTCTGCCTTTTTATGCAAATTTTAGCCTTTTTTTGTTATTCAAGCCACTTTTTAGCTGCTAATTTGAGCTTTTTTTTGTTTGAGCCCAGGGCAGCTGTGGCTACAGTGTAGTTTGCCATCATCAGTGTGTGAATGTGAGTGTGAATGGGTGAACGTCTGTTAGTGTAAAGCGCTTTGGGGTCCGGAGGGACTTGAAAAGCGCTCTATAAATTCAGTACCATTTACCATTTCACCATTTTTTGTGACCGTTTCAGCTTCTTACTGCTTAATTCAGCAAATGAGCTCTTTCTGCTTCTTTGTGCTCATTTCAGCTTTTTCTCTCTGAATTCAACGTTTTCGGCAATTTTTAGTTTTTGATCTGCTCAGCTTTTTCATCACGTTTTAGCTATTTTTCTACTCTTTCTACACACAGTATTTCCCTACTTTTAGCTGTTCAAATTGAACTCATTAACATTTTCTGTCATTAAACATTTTAGCTTCTTCAGCAGATGTCTGTAAAAAATTCTCAGTAACAAGCATCCACACACTCACTACATTTTCACAGGAAATGCTTATTCTCTAGTTTTAAAATAAGATTGTSTTATTTTGGTCAAACAGCCAGAATAAATTGTTTCATTTTTTACTCTATAAGAAAAACCTTATAAAATTAAAAATACAATAAACTTTAGTATTACATGGCACTGTATGTGTGTATGCTTGATCTCATGTGTATTATGGTTTAGATGAGCATCTGTGTGTGAAGGTTATTATATTCCCATGATGGAGGCYCACTTAAACATCTCTCTCAGAACAACATGGTGTGTAATTGGGGAATTCAAGATGCCAGAGTGTGTAGGTTGCARGCAGAGATCTCAGCTGGTTGCCAAGTGCGATGTAAGGAGTACGACTTTTCTCCTTCCTGTTGACCTTGAACGCAATCATCCAGAAAAAGCGCATGTATGTCTTTATTATTAAACTATTTTTATTTTATTTTTTATGAGTAATTCCCATMTTCTGTATGGGATGCCATTAAAAAGAATATAAAATGCATTTTACTTCATCTATATAACGTTTACACCTTTAGCCCTGTGTGTATGGCTCAGTYCTCAGATTAATGCCTGTGGGAAAACTGTTTAGGCCTGAGCTGGGATCTTGGGAGATCAGGTGGAAAACAGTGATGGAGGTGGGCTCTTACCTCATTTGCTGCATCAAACGTCTACTTCACACTTCAGAAAAATTAAGCTAAAGTTAGCAACTATTGGTGCAATAATTCAATTCTTGTAAAGACATAAGCYGTGGATATTCACACTGTAGAGTTGGCTTAGCATCTGAGAGTCAGCATGTTTGAGACTAAATATAATGGAAGAGCAGAGTCATTTTAAAAACAAGATTTTAGCTCCATCTTCTGACCAAAAAGAGAAACAAAACAGATGTAATTGAACAGAAAGCAACTTCTTAAACAACATATTCTTTTKACTTTAACCCATCATTTGCAGAATTTAAGGCTTGAACGGGGAGGAAACAAGCAGCTCAGTGTTTATGAATGATTTTAACACAGCCCCAATTCCCAAAAGTCTAAAGTGTGTTTCACATAAAATGAAAACAAAACCAAAATGCATCGTTAACTCACAAATTATTCATGTTGTAATGAATGCAGTATAAGGTTTAGCATCATATTGCTGTAATAAGCAAAACATTCCCTGGAAAAAAACTGGATTTGAATATGTTGTCATAAAACCTGCACTTTTTTTCACTGATGGTGTCTTTTTAGATGCCTGAGACTTTGGCACTAATGCACCCCCATACTATCAGAGAGGCAGGCTATTGAAATGTGCAGCGATAACAGGCCTCTTTAGTATGGATGACATGGCATTTGTAGTTTCATTGAAAATAATTGAAAATTTCGATTTTTCTGATTACAGATTTGTTTTTTGTTTTTTCACGATAGAGCTTTAACATGTACTGTTGAGAAAAATGTTTCCAGTTTTTTCATAGAGGAACATTATTCTGAATTTTTTTCAGTATTTTGGTTGCCCTTGTTCCAACTTTTTTTTTTGAGATTTGTTGTTGCAAAATTCAAAATAACATTTTTTAAAAGTGGTATCAGATTTATTGCTTTAATTTCCATTTATTACACCGAGAAAAGCAGTTCTTCAGCATCACTGAGCAACAAAGTACTTTAACCTCTTTGCATTTTCACAATGAACAACTTGTCCTAAATTAGAAAAAAAAKCACTCAGTATGTAACTGTGCAGGAATGTTAACAAGCAGGAATTCTGTTGATGAAGTGAAGCTGACGTCCATATAGTAGTCACTCAACTGTAAATTGGCGAAAAGAGTTCATTTTTGAGGGTTTCCTTTTTTTTCTGAGACCTGAGAGAAAACAAAACTCACTAATGCTGGGTTTTCAGCTTTTTTTTATTTTAGTTTTGAGGGAACAAGTTTAAAAATAAAAACAGTCAGACCATGTGAATGTCAGAAGTGGCCTTCCTGCTGTGTGTGCAGCTGCTTCTACTAAGTCCTGACCCTTTCCCTTTTTCTGGCCAAAAGCTCCCCCCGTCAAGCTGTACACACATTACAGCACTGGAAGTTTTTAGCCCTTAAACTGATTTACTTTGTGGCAAAATATCTTAGCAGAGGGGGGAGTGGCTTGGCTCTGTGCAGGCTGGGCGGACAGGAAAGAGCCAATGAGGGGAAAGAAATACAAATAAGTTAAAGGGGAGAAAATAGCAAAAAATAAAAGGGGGGAGTGAGAGAGAGGCAAGCTGCAACCTGAAGCTTTTTCCTCCCAGCACAGTTTGAACCAAACTCTCTCTGTACGACTGGGAGCCACCGAGAAATGGAGAGGGCCCAGATAAAGTCGGAGCAAGATAACGGGAAGGTGGATAATGGGGAGGAGGAGGGGGTCCACCTTCGGAAGGAGATCGGGCTGCTGCCTGCTGTGTCCTTCATCATTGGAACGGTGGTGGGCAGTGGGATCTTCATCGCTCCCAAGGGCGTCTTAATGAACAGTGGCAGCGTAGGGCTGTCTCTGCTGGTGTGGGCACTGTGTGGCATCCTCTCCTTGTTTGGTAGGGTGGCATCTTCTGTCCCTTCTTTGTWGAAAATTCTTATTTGTGTGTCAACAATGTCAAAGCCAATGCTAAACATTGCWGTCAAACTTTTCGCAGCATTTGTTTACACATGGCGGGATGGTCCAGATTTGATCAAGTATTCCTCGTTTTTTTGTGTCCTTAGGGGCCCTCTGCTACGCTGAACTGGGCACCAGTTTTACAAAATCTGGAGGTCACTATACTTACRTGCTGGAAACACTGGGGCCCCTTCCTGCTTTCCTCAGACTCTGGGCAGAGTTTATATTCATAAGGTATGGCTTTTAGGAGACTCCACACATTAAACTGAGTTAAAGGCACAGTGTGTAGGATTTTGTCAATTCTTTTAGCCGAAATTGAGATAATCACTAATGACAATWATAAAAAAAKARGTCTAATCATTGCAGACAAAGACCTTGTTTTATTATTTTTACCTTATAAAAAGCTGTTTATATCTCAATGGTCGCGGGTCACCACTACAGGCAGCCGCCATCTTGTCTATGAAGGCTCATGAAGGACAAACTGCGGTGGCGGCGTCAAAAACAGTTTTAGTTGTAATACTATAAATGTAATATTTGTTGTCTGTCATTGTAGCTGGGATAATTTTACTTATTAAAGCTCATAATCTTACCACTTGAAACATCACTAGCCCTGAAGCTGCTGGTAGACATCGCGGTTGGAATTATCAAAGGTTTTTGACACCTGAGAGACACCGTCTCAACTCCTTTGTGTTTGAAAGGGGGTGGGGGTGGGGGGAGGACCAGGGAGGATGATTCAACCACTCAACCACTAGATGTCGCTGAAAACAACAAATCCTACACACTGTGCCTTTAAMTACAACCATYACCAYACTTCCTTTTCAAAATTGCAGACCAGCTGTTGCTTCTTATGTGTCCTTGGCGTTTGGCCGTTATGTTGTGGAGACTTTCTTTGCGCCTTGCGAAGCTCCCACAGTGCTAATCAAACTCGTCAGTGTCCTCGGTGTGAGTAAGTGGTGTTTTACTGCTAAAAAGTGGGTTAATATCTCATGTGAGACCAGGTGTGAAGTCTTTTTGTTGTCTGTGCAGCGTTTGTCGTTGCAGTGAACTGCTGGAGTGTAAAAGTGGCCTCTCGCACTCAAGTTACCCTAACGTTTATTAAAATGTTTGCYCTGATCCTTATAATCATCCCAGGGGTCATCGCATTGGCCAAAGGTAGGACGACTTACTTAGGAAGACCTCGATAGGTTTCTGACAAGCACCTTAACAACTTTTCTTTTTGCAGGGAAAACTGAAAATTTCCAGCATGGCTTTGAGGTGGACTCAATAACCCTGGATCGGCTGCCTTTGGCCTTTTATAATGGCCTATATGCGTATGGTGGCTGGTATGTACAGCATGCAAGATTTGCAGTYAAATGTACTTGTGTCCAAATTTGTTTTCTATCCCTTTAGGTTTTATCTGAACTATGTCACAGAGGAAGTCATAAACCCAAACAGGTATTTCATTAATGCAACATTTGCTCCAAATCAGTAGATTTTAAAAAGCTTTGTCCCTGTGCGTACATCTTGTCTTCCCAGGACCATTCCGTTAGCAATAACCTTCTCCATGGTGACYGTGACAGTCTTCTATGTGCTTGTTAATGTGGCCTACTACACCATGATGACACCTTCTGAGCTGCTGTTGTCCGACGCAGTGGCTGTGGTCAGTAGTTCAGAATATTAGCTACTGTCCAGATGGAARGGTACAGCTTCAAACCGATCTGTTTGTTTGTGCGCCTGCAGACGTTTGCCAACCGAGCTCTTCGGGGTCTGGCCTCTGTGATTCCTATTCTTGTTGCCTTGTCTTGCCTCGGAGCACTCAACGGGGGCTTCTTTGGGGCACCCAGGTAATTTACGAGAAGCAAATATTGTCGTTTTTCTCAGTGCATAGTTGACTTGAGTCTTTTTTTTTCCTGTGGCAGGATGCTATTTGTGGGTGGCAGGGAGGGCCACTGGCCACCAATTTTTTCTATGATTCATATTCGAAGACAGACACCTTTACCTGCTGTGCTTTTCCTGGTAAGTTCTGTAGCAATACGTAATACTGCTTGGATTGGTCCAAACCAGGTAAAATTTGGAGTCTCACTACTTGGGCTAGGTCATACCAGTAACATAGGAGCTTATTCGTGTTCCCTGGTACCTATATTCTCCAGTACCTATATTTCAAAGTACTTGAGGAACATACYCAATATTTGTCTCCCACTTCAAAATGTATTTTAAGATAAATGAAAAAAGGTATTGAATTACAGTGCAGGCATTGTACTTGGGAACATAGGTAACTGTGTGCATGGGTACCAAGGAACATAAGTATCAGCGGACATTTCATTTCAGAAGTTTATTCATTTATTTTAAAAACAAAATAAATTCTATGTACAATAAAAAACACTAATCAAAAATAAAATGAGAGGCAGCAAAAAGAAGAAAAAAATCTTATAATTTCTACCCTTAAGGGAACATACAGTAGATACTGGAGGACATAGGTACCTGGGAACATGGGTACTGGGGAACTTTGGTACCAGAGAACATCGACACCTGGGACATAAGTTCAGGGGATCATAGGTACTGGGAACTTGTGTACATGGGAACATAGAACATAGGCACCAGGGAACATAGATACTAGGGAACCTGAGAACATAGGTATAGGGAACATCAGTAACAGGGAACATAGGTACCTGGGAACATGGGTACTGGAGAACTTTGGTACCAGAGAACATAGACACCAGGGACATGGGTTCTGGGGATCATAGGTACTGGMAACTTAGGCACATGGGAACATAAGCACCCAGGAACATAGGTAATGGAGAACATAGGCACCGGGGAACCAAGGGAAAGGGGAACATAGGTACTTGGGAACATAGGCACCTGAGAACATAGGTACTAGGGAACATAAGTAAAGGGGAACATAGGTACCTAANATAGGTACTTGGGAACATAAGTAAAGGGGAACATAGGTACCTAAAAACATAGGTACTTGAGAACATAGGCACCTGAGAACATAGGTACTTGGGAATATAAGTAAAGGGGAACATAGGTACCTAAGAACATAGGTACCGGGGAACCAAGGGAAAGGGGAACATAGGTACTTGGGAACTTAGGCACCTGAGAACATAGGTACTAGGGAACATAAGTACTGGGGAACATAGAGATGACCCCCAGGAATTGTAGCCTGTAAGTATAGTGAAAAAGGTCACTTCATAATGCACCACAGTCCGCATTATGTTTCATAAAAGTACAGGTTTTAGAGAAGAACTTATGGCAGCAACAGATAATACAGTCTGATATTTACAGAGTACTTACATATTGTATATCAGGCTGTGCTATGTAGTATTATTGTAAGTTTTACTTGTTACTTTTAAGGTTGAAATTTTAAAGAGGCACACTGCTGCCACTTGTCTTTTCTTGAGTCTGGGGATGTTGGTTACATGCCTGCTTCTTTGCCACATCTAGAAACCTTGGATACAGCTCTGAGGTTCATTGCAGACCTTGTGTTTGAACTTTTATTCTTATTTTCTGAAAGGCCTACATCCTCAGAAAATATAAAAGCTGAAGTTATCGTCTGACAACATGCGTTTCTTTAAAGTGGACTGAGAACTCGGAAGAGTGACTGAGGCTGTATTGTGTGTTCCCAGTATCCCTTGGTGGTGTTGATGTTAATCACTGGGGAAATCTACCAGCTCATCAACTTTGCCTCCTTCTCTCGCTGGTTCTTCATCGCCTTGGCAACCCTGGGCATGCTCATCCATCGATACCGTTTCCCCCATCACCCAAGGCCTTTCAAGGTTAACACGCTTTTGTGGTGGTTGTCGTTTATCTTGAATTGCAAAGCAGATTAATTTGATTTCAACTTAATCACCCTCCCAATAGGTGCACTTGGTCATTGCAATCACCTTCACAGTGGTTTCCTTCTTCATCGTGGTTTTCTCACTTTACTCGGACCCCTGGAACACAGGACGAAGCTGTGCCCTCACTCTGACCGGGCTGCCGGTTTACTATGTAACCATCTACCGGTTTCGGCTGCCCCGCAGGTGGAGGCACATTTTCAGTAAGTTATGCCAACGGGAGGTCGTTAAATGTTTTAGGGTGGAGGAAAATCAGGGTTAAACTCAAAAGATTCAGGCTTTTTGTTTTAAAACCCTTACAACCCTAAAAAAAAGAGGGGGGGGGGGGGGGGAGTGTGACATCTGCTGTTTGTTCAAAGCACTTGAACTTAATCAAAACTTAAAATTAGTGAGCTAAAACTAAACAGATATGGATAAACTTGAGCTATTCTTTAAAAGTAAACTTAGCGCTTAAAGCTCAAGGTTTGAGTTTGATTAATTTCAAAAAAATTTACATAAAAACATATTAATTTATGCAAATTCTCCAATTCTTCCAGACTATTGCAGCAAGCAGCTGCAGATCCTTCTAGAAGTGACGCAGCAGGAAGTCCAGACGTACTGAGGACTTTGAAGACACCAGAAGACTTCATGTATATCAACTTGATCGGTTCTGGGAAACTTTAAAAGGATTTATTTGATAGTTTTCTATTTTTATACTAAACATTTAAGATTTTTGCTTTTTTAGAGAAAACAACTGAAACAGAGGAACGCAGCTAGGTTTGCAAAGGGGCAGGCGGTTTTCTGGGAAATTTGGAAATTACAGTATTCCAAATCGGAAACCTTTTCAAGCAAAGTCAAAATCTGCACAGCTGAATCATTTCTAATAAAACTAACATTTTATACGGAAATATAAAATGTTAGGTTATGATTAAAGTAAGATTTCTGCTATCAGATAGTAATATTTTGTGATTTTTACTGTTTAGTCTTTTAGGTACTTATAATCTGGTTTGGTCAAGGTTATGTTAAAGATAGATTTTCCCCACCTACATTTTAAATCCTTAAAGGCAAACATTCAGTGTTTTAAATTCCAGGTTTATTCCCATTAATAAAAAAAAGTTTCCAACTTTGACAATTCCCAATATTTTGCAACCCTCGCATGTGGTTTTCAAAGGATTTTAAAAACCAAACTGAAGAATTTAATTGTGCAAAGTGTTGCAGTGTTTTTAAATTCATGGATATACAGCAGGGCTATGAAACTGGTGGTCCAGGGGCCAAATCAGTCAGGCCCACTGTTCTGAGCTGCAATGGAGTCATGTTTTTTATTTATTTATTTTTGTGCATTTTGAAGTATCACATTAGAAAAGGTTGATGGAAATGATAAAATTAGGAAAAAAAACTTCTATTTCGAAAAACGTTTTTTACGCTCGCTTGAGTTGGTTTTTGGATTTTCTGAAAAAGAGTGTGCAAAAGGGGACTTTGAAACACATTTGCCCAATAAGTCCTGACGTAAAGAACATTTCCCTCACATGATCGATCAGCTGTTTCTGCTGTRGGTGTCTTCCCGGATATTCCCAAAATACAAAGAGAATTACATTTCTTTCTCGACGTCTCCGGACAGCATATAACTGTCAATARTAGTTGATTTGACAATTGCAACTTGCCTGATAGCAACACATTCTGATGACTTCTCTGCATTGTCCTGAGATGTAGCCCCWMTGAGTTTGCAACCTCTACTTCCCGTTTATTACAGCCATGCGTGTTACATTTTGCATAGCCTGATTTGCTCCAAAGCAGTAGATAGAAACACGATTGCATTTATGTTTTGCGACATTTTAAAAGTTCGCTTAAAATCCAATATCAATCGGAAACGTGGCTAGTGTGTCCCCTGAGCCCCGATATGTAGTACTTTTTAAATGCTCAAAGCATTCTACAACACAGTTTTTACACTCTTCTTTACAAACTAATAAAGACTTTGAAAAGTGCAAAAAGGTTTATAAATTATCTTTTATTTAGACAGAAATGTTCACACAGTGTCCACCTTAAACATTACACCTCATTATTTGCATCAATGGAAGGACTTAATACAGTCATGATGTTTTAAGAGAACTAAGACATTTATTGCCATTTTAAAAACACCAACTTCAGGAAACAAACGAGCCGTTTTAAGACATTTCTTAACAGCCATATAAGCACTGATCATAAAGAGATGAACTTATTGCGTGGTGTCCGAATAGTTCCGTTTGCCTTCAARGCTGCAAAAACTGAGTAAAAAGTAAAATTTCTGGATTTACTGCTCTAAGATTTGAAATGTGAAGCAGATATAAGGTCACTTCATACAAAATGTGTCCTGATGTTGACACTCTTGGACACAAGTACTGGGAACATTTAGAAAAACGAGCGACTCTTCGACAATTAACAGACACAATCCTGCTGCTGTTAGTGCTACTTGTAATACTTTACTATTGCTAGTCTACGCCGGCCCGCCAAGCTGTGCCAAACGACAACTCTTGCTCTATAATCAGAAAATGATTTCCCCACTTTCCAATGGAAACTGTAAATTATATATTAATATGTGCAAATCAACTTATGTACACGTTTAAATATTTTTTTTCATGCAATTCCTTAAAGCGGCAGATACGCCTTGAGGATAAATGATCAAAAACAAAAAAGAAGAACACACACAAATAAATTTTTGTCAAGTTAAAATGTACAAATAAAGACTAAAATGAAATAGTTAAATAAACAGCCCTCTTATTTGTCCAAGAAACAGCTAACAGAAAGCAAAGCAGATGCTAAACTGATCCCTAAAATGGGTCCAAACTCAACAAAAAGTTTAAAGATTTATCGAAAATTCAAATTAGCCATTACAGTGGGACAATTTTTCTATTTTGATTTGTAAATTAAAGCTCAAATTAGACTTTTATGAACTCAACATACCCACCAAATGTAATATCTATTACATCATAAATCATTTAGCGATGTAACTATTTCAGATTGTTACAAACTACCAAATACAAAAAGGAAACATCTAACTTTACATTACCTTAATAAGCGAATTTTCTACCCCAGACCTTCAGTGAGGATAGTATTTGTTTCCAAAAACAGTATATTAGATCAGCATCTGCTTTGCGGATCCAGAGTACATGTGGCTTTTCTTCTGTAGTGCTTTGTAAATCAGGCCCAACATCACGCAGCCTAAATGTGACCCATGAACTCGGACCAGCTGATGTTAGCAGTGCCGAGGTCCTCGCCGTCCAGACCTGTGAAGCTAATGTCCACCAGAACCTTGCTCAGGCTGTCGTTGGTGGTGTCCAGGACGAGGCCCTCCGTGACCGAGCGGCTGGGCGGCGAGGTGCCCCCCGTCTGCAGCAGCTCCCTGGGCGAGCCGAACAGAGGCAGATCTTTGAACGGGGTGCCGCTGAGGCTGAAGGTGGTGTAGTCGTTCTGAGGGGTGGCTGCGGGACCGCCCGGCGTGCAGATGGGGCTAAAGTCCAGGACGTTTTTGCTCCGTTTGCCCACGGGGGTCACTTTCCACGGCTCGATCGCGACATTCGGAGTGGGCCGGCTGGGCGTGGACGAGGTCAAGGGGTTGCTACTTTTTATGGGGGTCTTAAAGGAGAACGCCTGGTCGGGGCTGTCCAGTGTGCTGCGGTGCTGATTGCGCTCGGCGTCTCGCGCATCCTGGAACGTGGACGCATCGAAAGCTATGCCCGAGTCAAAGAAGGTAGTATCGGGGTAGAGGAGAATGGGCTCCTCGTGCAGCGAGCTGAGGCGCTGTTTACGACGAGACCTGCTGCCTTGTTTATTTGTGGGGGCTTTGGGGGTCTCGCTCCTTATTGGAACTCCTATCGGTTCCTCCTTTACCGCCACATTTAAGCTGTTGTTCCTCAGAGGAGAGCGACCCACAGCTGGGAGGTCACTTTGCGTCACCTGTCGGACAAACAACCACGAACTTTAAAAACTTTCCAGCTACAAACTCAACTCTAAATACAGTAGTTTGGTGTTTCTAGTGACATGCCTATCCATTGAATACAAAAAGTCAAAGAACACACCTTTTTATATAAGAAACCTGGCATAAAATGTGATTTTACCCATTTTGTCACATAAAGGGCTTATTTTCTTTTGAACTTGGCTCAGCCAAAGTGAAACAGGAAGTGACATCAAAGGGGAACTCTATAAGAAAGAGAAATCTCTAGTCTTTGTTTATTGAAACAATATTATTTGAACTCCGACTCGTCTTCATCTCTCTCTGATTGTGACTCAAAATAATCTAAAGAAACATCAGATTCTTCTCCACACTCTGTGTCCTTAGCCATTTTATCAATGCTTTGTTCCATGCTGACATTCCCCTCTGACATCACTTCCTGTTCCTTCACATGCAAATATCTCAACAGCTGTTCATCTCAGCAGTGGGAAATTATTTTTCTAACATGTTATTAATGGGATCTTTCCAATAACGCCTTTATATTTATTTTAAAAATTTCATGTCACAGGCACTTAACATACAATCAGACTCACAACACCAGATATCTGAAACTGATTGATGACTAGACATATTACTGAGGATATTACTAAGTAAATTCTGATTGGTAGAAATTGCATCATATTTCCTGTAAAGTTATATAGAGGCTTCAATTCAAGAAAACCTTAAAAGGAATTTTACCGTAGTCATAATTACAGTTCTAGATACCTCCAAGTTAATTTGTTGAGTCATATTTTGCTTTCAAGACATCTACCTTTTAGTTCCCAAACCATAATTCCAATTAAAAATATAAAATTTGAATTACAACATTATTCAAGAAAACTTAAATGTATTTTTAGATATCAGATATAAAGATCTGACGAGTGCAAATTAAATTGCAAATATCTTGAAAGCAAATAATGACTAGGCAGAACTAACTTAAGGTATCAAGAACTATAATATTAAAAACAATTGTACTTCTGTTAGAGGGACTGATGTGTGGAATAATTGTTGTGAAGAGTTAAAAATGTTTAAGTTTAAAACAATGTATAAAAATTATTTGCTACAGAAATACAGCAAGGTTTGATTATGGCTGTTTGTGTTTGTTACAAATTTGGTTCAAATTTCACTGGAGGATTTCCTTTAGAAAAATCTGAAGGAAAGATGTTGCTGTTTTGATTTTTATCATATATGGATAAAAAGCTTCTAACTACACTTTTTTTGGCCTGTACCTTGTAGGGGTGTAAGAAAATCTTGATACACTGAAATATTGCGATTTTTCATTTCCCGATACTGTATCGATATTCTAAAGCCCTGTATCGATTTTTGATTAAGGTTTAAAARGTCAACTTTCCTGCCAGCCGTTCATTTTTATGTTGTAGTTCAGCCTCTGACCACTAGTTGGCAGCAGTGAGCCAGCCATTTGGCTCCTCTACCTCTTGAGCGCCAGAGAGTAAGGGTAGCATTAGCATTGTAAGTAAACATTAGCTTCATGCTCCGATAGCTGAATCTGAGCAGAAAAGACAGACACTCTCTGCCTTCTAAGCTGAAGTAAGGTTACAAACAGTTACTTATTTGTCAGAATTTCTGTATTTTAAGCCAAATTAAGTGTCTTGTGCACTCTTTTTTCCAACGTTACAGAAGGCAGGTATTTAATAGAATTTTTGGACAAAAAAACCCGCAATATATCGCCTTGCTTACAGTATCGCAATATATCGGGATATATTGTATCGTGACCCCTTTGTCATGACATGTATTGTATCGCCAAATTCTTGCCAATACACAGCCCTAGTACCTTGTGTTTTTGACATTGACAGAAATTCAAAGATTGCTTATTAATTTATTTTCTGTATTAATTCTGATTTGTTTTCATTTTGTGTTTTTGTGTTGTCTTGTAACTGGAAAGGTTAAAAATTATATAGAAAAAAAAAAGAATTTTAACTAGTCAAAGCTACTTTTAAGATTTCTTCCAATGAATCAAAGACATCCTGACAGTTTCCATCTAGACATTTTTTCTATTTAAGATATCTTGAATTAACATTATGACTAGTCAGAATAATATTCGAGACATGCCGAATAATTAATCTGTCTAGCCAACATGTCACAGATTTACGAAGCATTTTGGCAGAAAGTTTCTGAGCAGGGTTCCCACACCTTGGTCAAAATCAAATTCAAGGACCTTTCAAGGACTTTCCAGTACCAATTTCCTCACCTGTCATCCACTGCAACAAATGTGTTTTWTTTTATTTAATTTTATAATTAATTTTTTTTTTAAAAGATGATGAAAATCGGCCGTGTGATTAGAGAATTTCAATCCCCAAAAAACAATCAAGTACTTTCATCAATCCCAAGTGTAACTTTTGCCTGTTTTCACAAACTTTCCAGGGCCTTGAAATCATTTTTTTCAAATTCACAAACTTTCAAGGACTTCAAGGACCCGTGGGAACCATGTCTGAGGCATTTTAGCCTAACTTTAATTTGCTGTTCAGTGGTCTGCAGTGTCAGGTCAGTCAAACTAAAATCCTCGTGTTTTTAACACGATTTTAGTGCTACAGCTGAGCTTGACATGAATTAAGAAACAGATCATTTATTGTTCGTCACTGGAGCCACCAAAACTTCTGCAGGTAACTGTTTGGACAGCTAAGTGGCAGCATGGGGGCGTTCCGCTCAATTTCTTAAAGCAGATATTGAAAATCAATAATTTTGACTTGTCAGAATTATGTTTGAGATATCTTGAATTGTAATTACAGATGTGACCCTTTAAATGACAAATCCGGTGATGTCATTTCAGATGTCTTGAAAGGTGTTTTGACARGTCAACTCTTTTTAAAGGGATCACTGATTAGTTGTAACATTAGACTTTATTTAATAAACATATAGTTTAACTGTAAAATAAAGACTGTAAAAATATGTAGGATGCTTGGTTTTGTAAATTTTTAAAAATATTTTTCAACACGGACGTAGCCATTTTATTTACACGCAAAGTATTCTGGGTAAAAGATGACGTGGATATGTCATCGTTGTGAGTGAGCTATATCC